TCTTATATGTTTCTTATATATTCCTTATTTATTTCTTCTTTATCTTTATTTTTTAATTTATTTTTAATTTTTGTATCTATTTCTAACTTTTATTTATTTATTTATTTATTTATTTAAATTTTTATTCCCTCTTTATTTATTTTTAGTTCTTATTTATTTGTTTTAATCTTTCTTTCTTTCTTTTCTTTCCTTCTTTCTTTCTTTCTTTCTTTTCTTTCTTTCTTTCTTTCTTTCCTTTTCTTTTCTTTTTTCTTTTTCTTTTTATTTATTTATTATTTATTTCTTATTTACCTACCTGTCCCCAGCCTGTCCCTGACCCGTCCCAGTTGTCCCCAGCCTGTCCCCAATGTCCCCAGCCTGTCCCCAACCTGTCCCTGACCTGTCCCAATTGTCCCCAACCTGTCCCAATTGTCCCCAGCCTGTCCCAGTTGTCCCCAGCCTGTCCCCAGCCTGTCTCAGTTGTCCCCAGCCTGTTCCAATTGTCCCCAGCCTGTCCCCAACCTGTCCCTGACCTGTCCCCAGCCTGTCTCAGTTGTCCCCAACCTGTCCCAGTTGTCCCCAGCCTGTCCCCAGCCTGTCCCAGTTGTCCCCAGCCTGTCCCAGTTGCCAGGACGGGACCGAGGAGAGGAAAAGGGAGCGAGGCTGAGGTGTCACCTCCCTGTCCCCACCCTCCCCCGTGTCCCCCTGCCCTTGGGGACAGGAATTGTCCCCTCCGGGCTGTCGGACCCCCCTCACCCCCTCTGCGGGGGAGGAAAACTCCATTTTTTGGGAAGGAAACACCCCCCAAACACGGAATTTTGCAGGGGTTGGGGGGATCCTGCAAGAAAAAGGGACAAAATTCCATTTGAACACCGGGCTGGGAGATTCCAACACTTTTTAATGCTCTGGAATTTTTTCCTCTCGGTCCTGCCGGTGCCTCGGTGGCTCCGTGTCCTCGCCCTGGGATGTCACCTCGCTGTCACCTGGCCCAGGTGGGACCCTCTGAGCTGCTGATTTGGGAGAGGACGGATCAATCCCTCACCCTGGCTGGGAATTCCGGGATCCCGGGGATCAGATTTTGTCCGGCCTCTCTCGCTCCCCTGGAGCCCACGGTGTCCACTCCGGTCACCTGCAGGGACAAAGTGGCGTCAGCCCGGTGCCAGCCCAGGGAGGAGCAGGACAGGTCCCCAAGGGCCACCCGGGAGGTGACCGTGTCCCCACCATCCCAAATCCCTTCCCAAATCCTTCCCGCTGTCCCCGCAGCCGCTCGGGGACATTCCAGAGGGACAGCGGGAATTTGGGATCAGGGTGACGTCGGGACAGGTGACAATTCCACTTCCCCCCGCATTCCCGGGAATGGGGACAGGCGGTGGCAGCTCCCGCTCGTGTCATTGTCACTGCTGGTGGCCTCAGGGGGACTCGGTGTCCTGGCCAGGGGGGACGGTCAGCCAAGGGCTCGGACAGAGTCCTGGGGATGGACAGGGATGGACACAGGGACAGGGGTGGACACAGGGATGGACACAGGGATGGACAGGGATGGACAGAGGGACAGGGATGGACACAGGGATGGACACAGGGACAGGGATGGACAGGGATGGACACAGGGACAGGGATGGACACAGGGATGGACACAGGGATGGACAGGGATGGACAGGGATGGACACAGGGACAGGGATGGACACAGGGACAGGGATGGACAGGGATGGACAGGGATGGACACAGGGACAGGGATGGACAGAGGGACAGGGATGGACAGGGATGGACACACCCTGTGTCACTTGCTGTCCCCAGGAATGTCCCTGCTCCCAATTCCCAATTCCCAATTCCCAATTCCCATCTCCCCCATTATCCCACGTTATTCCAGCCTCTCCCTCACATCCCTGCATGGCCTGAGCCCAAATTCCCTCATTAATTAATTGCTTGGGATCATTAATTAATTAATCATTAATTGAGGCTCCCCTGCACGTTCAGCCCCCGGTGTTGTTTTCGGGGTGCAGCATTCCATAAATCCCTGAAAATGCCTCTCCCTGCTGGTTCCCCCCGCCTGATTCCCAGGATCTTCGGGATTCAAATCCAGGGGAAAAGCTGGATCTGTTTAATTTGGGAGTTTGGGATTTAATTTGGGATTTAATTTGGGATCTGTTTAATTTGGGAATATCTGGATCCATTTAATTCGGGAATGGCTGGATCTGTTTAATTTGGGAATGGCTGGTTCCGTTTAATTTGGGAGTTTGGGATTTAATTTGGGATTTAATTTGGGATCTGTTTAATTTGGGAATATCTGTATCCGTTTAAATTGGGAATATCTGGATCTGTTTCCAGGTGATTTTAACAAATAAACCAAGGAATTTAGGGCAGGAAAACCGGGATTTCTCGTTTCCAGACATGCTGGAGTTTTTCCTCATGGAATAACCAAGAACTCGAGGGGTTTTTTTGGGGCAAAACCAACCCAAAAAATCCCCGTTTTCCATGAGAGCCACTGGAATGTCGCTGCTCTCCCAGGGGAAAATCCCGGATTTGGGGAACAGCTGGAAAAGCTGGATTTGGGGCACAACTCAGCACTTCCAGGAGGGAATAATCCCAGGAAAAATCCCAGGAAAAGGGGGGGAATTGGGGTCTCCACTCCCTCCCTCGCCAGGCTGGGAACAGCTCGAGTGTCCAGGCGGGAATTCATTTAAATAAATTTCCATAGGGATTAATTCCGCCTCTTCCCAGCGGGAAAACGAGGAGGATGAGGAGGCTCCTTCATCCCTTCCTTCCCAGATTCGGGAATGTTCGGAGCCCCATCCCAAATTTCTGCTCCCATGGT